AACCATATGGCAATATCTGCAATTTTTTCGTGAAATGACCTTTGAATGCAGTCTAATAGAAAAAAAAAATTTTTTAATGCTATATAGCAGCATCTACAATGAATTTTAAATTCGGCACCAGAAAGATACGTCCTTATGGCTTTTGTAAAAAATCGATTCTGCTTTATATACCATCAGGCCTTATTTGCAGTTGTTGCTCTATGGTTCTAAAATAGGAACAAAAACTCAGATTTATCGGGCAATATTAGCAGTTAATCCCAAATAAATGCTACATTGCCTGTAAGTACTTTTATCTGTTGTTTTCATGTTGTGAGTAAACAATCATCTTTAATTTGGTTGAACGTAGTAAGAAGCAATTCAAAAACCATGAACCATAGAAGATTGATTTTTCTACAATCTTGTAGGTAATATTTCGTGTAATGAATGATGTTGGATTAACCCATGGAGGTATAAATAAAGATTCTTTATCTTTATTTATACGTCCATGGATTAACCCTTTGTCGACAGACTGTACTTAAAAGTACCATAATGTTGTCAGGTCACATTTATAAAAGTGTCTTCATTTCACTGACAAAAATCATTAGAATTTCACTATATTAAAAAAAATAAATTTCTAAGGACTAACATAATAAATGTTTCATTCTTTTCGGCAACAGGAGAGAGAATCAATCAATTTCTCTCTCCTGTTGCCGACAAGAATTTACAGCGTAGAATAATTTATTTTAAACTGTTTATCCTTGTTTTAGTGTAGTGTTATGTACAAGAATGGGTCACAGTAGTTCAAACAGCGAAAATATCAGGCGAACCTTACAAAATTAATGAAATGTCTACATCGGATATATTCTACTTTAAAAAAATTATGTAAAAAAATGGGAAACAATTACAACATCGACGAAAAAGGAAATCAGGTCGTCTGGAATGAGATTAAGATGATCAAGGTGAAGGAGACACTTTAAAATAAGTTTTAGGTTAAGACAAGCTGCCACGATACAGAACCAGTAATATAAAGCGAAGACAACGAGGGTTGGTGGCTAATACGGAACTAAGTAAAGCATAGTCGCATCCACCAGGAATATCCACTCTAAAAAACAATGATCTGCTCTCACTATGTAAGGCTAATGTTATTCAAGAACACAATATGCATGACTTTGATTAAGTGTTAAAACCAAAAATTTTTAATAAGCAAGTACAATCTTAAATAAAAAAACTTTTATTCGATATAAATTTTACTGCATCATTTTCCAAAATTGATATATTTTTTAAAACCATACGGCCGTATGTGCTAAAATACCTATTTCCTGAAGAAAATTTTACCTACTTCTTATTGCATATAAAAATATGCAAAATTAAAGACAATTATGCTAAATACCAGGTTTGTAGCTTATTTTTTGGAATTACAGTAAATAATATTAACTTTTCTATTCTATGGTGATTTTCCTGGGGGTGCTCTATGAGCCGTTAATACAGTGGTTCCCCTTTGCCTTCTGCATTCTTATGCCGTTGACCATTATTTGTTGATTCATTCGCCTTCGAGGCAATGAGGAGTCAGACAAGGTTGCATTTTGTCGCCGACATTGTTCAATGTTTACTCGGACCAGTTATTTAAAAAGGCACTTGAGAGATAACCATATGGAATAAAAATCAACGGGGAACTACTTAATGTGATTAGATATGCAGACGATACAGTAATTCTATCAGATAATATTGAAGGCCTTCAAATTCTGCTTGATCGTATTCACGAGGTAGGAGAGGAAATGGGCATTAAAATAAACTCAAACAAAATCAAATTTTTGGTATTTAGCCGTGACCCACATCCCGATGCAAAGCTTCAATTGAACGGAGTCCAAGTTGAGAGAGTTCACAAAATGACATATTTGGGAACTGTGATAATGGACCAACTAGATCCAGACATAGAAATAAGACGTAGAATTGCAATGAGTAAAACTACTTTTATGAAAATGAAGTCATTTCTTTGCAATAACCATCTCAGTTTAGAACTAAGGCAAAGAATGGTTAAGTGCTATGTTTGGTCTGTACTTTTGTATAGTGCAAAAGTGTGGATGCTTAAAGTATCGATCATGAACAAAATTGAAGCTTTGGAAATGTGGGTTCATAGAAGAATGCTGAAAATACATTGGACAACAAGAAAAACTAATGAAAAAGTACTAAGGAGCGTTAACAAAGACAGAGAACTGCTGAAGACTGTTCATCGAAAAATGTCTTATCTGAGACATATAGTAAGGGGAAGTCGATATAAAATTTTACAACTGATCCTTAAAGGCGAAATAGAGGGCCGTAGAGGTGTAGAAAGAAAACAAGTTTCTTGGTTAAAAAACATTCGTGAATGGATTCAGATACCAAATGCAGTACAATTATTCCATATTGCAGAAGATCGAAAAGCCTTCTCAATGGTGATAGCCAACGTCAGATAAATCTGATATGGCACGTATATATATATAGCGAGTGTTTACAACTTTAATTTTGTCGCTTCTCGCATCCCAATCGCCATAATTTCTTATCGGCCCAGTCTCCTTCTTGAAGACCTTTATTTTCCATTTCTATATGAATATTGAATATCCATTTCTTTCTTGGCCTTCCCCTTTTATTTCTCTGCGTAGGTCTCCAGTTTTAAACCTTTCGTGGTATCCTTTCTTCGTTCATCCGTCTCAGGTGTCCATACCATTTTAATTGTTTTTCGGCTATCGTATCCATTATTGTGTTCTTTACTTTCATTCTCTCTCTTATGTTCTCATTTCTTATGTGGTCAAACAAAGTTAACCCGGAACATCTTCTCCAGCACATCATTTCCGTTGAGAGGAGTTTTTGTGACATATTCTTGTTAAAGACCCACACTTCTGACCCATACGTCAGCACCGGCTGAATCATAGCCTGATATATATTTTTCTTTGTTTTCTTAGTTAAAGTTTTATTCCACAGGATCGGATGTAGTGTTTTTATCATGTTTTTTCCTTTTCCTATTTTTCTTGTTATATATTTGTCATCTCTCCCGTCTTCGCTTAGTGTAACTCCGAGATATTCGTACTGATCAACGTTTTTAATTAATCCGCTTTCTGTTTCCATGTCTTGACCGATGCCTCCTATATTCATGTATTGTGTCTTTTCGGTATTAACCTCTAATCCCCATTTTTTGAATTCGTCTATTAGTTTGTTTATCATGTACGTCATATCTTGTAGGTCCTCGGCAAGAACTACCTGGTCGTCTGCGAAGAGGATTGTGTATATAGGAGTGTCATTTACCCATATGCCCATTGGGCTGCATTTTCTTATCCAATATTTTAAAGCATTACCAAGATATATTTTAAATAGGGTTGGGGAGAGGCAAGAGCCGTGTTTGACACCCTTTGTTTGGGTGAAACCCTTGGAAATTTGGTTTCTAACCTTAATATAAGCTTGGTTATCTTGATATAGCTTTTTCACGGCATTTATATATACTACATTTATACCTGCGTTTTCCAATGTTGTCCATAGTCTCTGCAGTGGTACGCTTTACGGATATCTATAAAAGTGGCATGAAGTTCTAGTCCTCTTGCTAATCTCTTTTTTATTAGATGTTTGAGAGTAAATACATTGTCGACACAAGATCTCCCTGGTCGGAATCCACTTTGTTTTTCGATCTCTGTGGCTTCTTTTTCTATTCTGGCTTTCAGAACTCTTTCATACAGTTTGCCAGTGGATGACGTAATGCTGATACCTCGGTAATTACTGCAGTCATTTCTGTTTCCCTTTTTGTAGATGGAGTTTATGTACGAGACTTTCCAATCTCTTGGGATACTTTCTCCTTGTAGGCACTTGTTAAACATTTTACAAAGCTATTCTAATGTTATTGCAGTGGCATGTTTGAATAACTCGATAGGTAAATCACCCGGCCCAGGAGCTTTATTATTTTTCATTTTTTGTAATGCGTTTTTTATTTCTTCAACGGTAATCATCGCCACTTCATTTAACCCCGTTTCAACTCTATCTATATGTGTGTCTAGAAACTGTGTACATTGTTCATTTAATAGATTTTCGTAATAATTTTTCCATCTTTCTATGTCTATGGGGTTTATTTTTTTTGTTTCGTTTGTATTTTTTCTAAGATTGTTGATAGTTTTCCAAGCTTGTCTGGACCTAGATCCTCCTACCATTGAGCTTATTTCTGCACACTTGTTGTCCCAGGTTATGTTTTTTGTTTTTTAATTTCCTTTTTTACTATATATTTGTATCTGTTATAGTTCTTTCGGTCTTCCTCATCTTTTGTCGCTAACCATTTGAGATACAGTTTTTTCTTTTCTTCTACCAGTTCTAATAAACCTTCTGTTCACCAATAATTTCTACGTTTTACTTTTTCTTTCGTACCTAGAGCTTCTAATCCTGCTTCATGAATTTTGATTTTCAAAGTCTCATACATTTCTTCCGCTGTTCCGTTTATTTCTTCGTCTAATTTTTGTGCCAAACGTAGTTTATAAAGAAAACTTGTAGAAGAAGTATTAACTTTAAAAAAAATTGAAACGCTCATAACTCAACATTATGATTTTTGCAGTTACTGCCCTATGGTTTTCAAGTGCGATATTTGGTAACTTAGTTATTAAAACGCTATTTACCTTGTAAAATCGGTTAAATATAGATGTCTATACGACATTAAATATTTAAATCCCTTTGTCTTTTTCCTAGAGAGGATGTGATCAGAAAACTCTTTTAGATACCTTGTTATTGTTTTACATTCGTGTAATTGATTGATTTTAAAAACGAACGTCATTTTTGTTGATTTATTGTAAAATAATTAAACAATAATTAGAGTACTTGGAAAATTGATAATACCATTAACCGTACTACGTAACTTTTCCCATTAAAACATATTTTTAAACAGTATTTGTCAACGCGTGCTTTGCATTCTTGACACCTATTTCCTCATTCAGTAATTTCAATGTCTCTGTACAATTTTATTACGTCAACTTGTTCTTGCTAATGACAATTACCATTACTTGTTGCTCACACTAGACGACCCATACATTGGTATCGGTAGTCGGTACGTGTCGTCCGCCTCTGTGTCTTTCACTTTGTCTGCAGCGGAACGCAAAGGTAAGCATTTAAGTCTTCAGGTGAAAGTCCTCTCATACTTTTTATTTTATTTGTTACGGCTACAATAGTGCCAGCAGCGGTCAAGATCATAACACGTAGACGGTGGCTCGGGTTTTACGTTTTAACTGTCCGTTTATCTTTCTGTGATTTTTAGTGTATAAAGTTTGTGTAAAGTGTTTAAAGTAAGTGTTATGTTTGTCCTAGTTGGAATACTTGTTGTTTGGTATGGATAAGTAGAACAATATATTTGTGTATCTCTTCATTAAGTTTATCTCTTGTTATTAGTGTTTACTGTCTTATTAAAACTAAACTATTAATTTCCCTTTATTATTTGAAAAAAAAAAATTAATAAATAAATTTTGAAAGTTGATATATTTCGGTCGGCAATACATATTTTGCTTTCAATAATGCTATTGTTTAAAACAAAAAAATATAGGACTTAGATGATTTTGGTAGAATAAAAATGGCAAAAATGTATTTAACAGTTTCATCTTAAACTAATACAAGAAAAATTTTATCTATCTGTTTATCTATATAAGGATTTTTACAGCTGTCGCCGCCTTCCTTCTTTCAGCCAACGTCTCCAGTCCTTTCTGTTCTGCCATTCTTCATCTCTAAGGTCTCGTCTTTCCATGGCCTCGTCCACTTCATCCCTCCATGATCTTCGGGTCTACCTCTTTTCCTCCTTCCTATTGGGCTCCAATCCGAAATCTTTGCTATCCACCTTGTATGATCTGTTCTTCTCACATGTCCATACCAAATTAAACGTTTTTCTTCGATGTAGCTGAGTATGTCTTGTTCTACTGCCATTCTTCGTTTTATCTCCTCATTTCTGATGCGATCTATTTTTGTCACTCTGCAGCTTCTTCTCATGAAATCTATTTCAGTTGCTGTGATTTTGGACCTGTTTCGTTTATTTATTACCCAATTCTCTGCTCAATAGGTCAAATACTGCCTACCAAGGTGTTATAAATTCTCTTCTTTGTATTTCTGGTAATCTGTCTATCCCACAGTACCCCGTTCATTTGTTTAATACAATGTTCTTGTCTGTGCTAATCTGCTGGTTATCTCTTGCTTGGTGGTTCCATTTTCTGAGAGTATGAATCCTAAATATTTGAATTTTTCAGTGCCGTTAATTTCACTATCATCGTTCATTTCCAAGTTTCCAACTGGTTCTTGCTCTGTTGTTAAATATTCGGTCTTTTCTAGGTTTATTTCCAGTCCATTTTTTGTGTATTCCTTTTCTAATTTTCGGAGAATATAGCACAAATTTTCTTCATCTTGAGCCGTTACCACTTGGTCATCCGCAAAGCTTAATGTGTCCAAGAATTTGTCCCGCATTGGTATTCCCATTCCTTCACATTTCCTTTTCCATGGTTTTAATATTTGTTCGAGAAATATCTTGAACAGTGTCGGAGATGTAAAGCATCCTTGCAATTTCTTGGCGTGTGCGTGTAAAAACACTTGCAATAAGTTGTTTCATCTGTCTTTCCTTGTCTAAGCTTGATTCGTTTACCTCCTCCAGTGGCAGCTATCTGTATTCGTAAAGAGGCCGAACTTATCACCAACACCGTATCGGCCAAACGCATCGGTGTTATTGCTACAATACTGGGAGACGTGAGTGGTCTCTTCATTCCCTTCTCATCGCACTTTAGCATGACGAACGTGACTCGCACAATTGAATTACTCATCTGTATATCAGAGAGAGACGAATATTAAAAATTTCGTAGTAGCTTATTTCAGGCACACGCCAAGAACGATGAAAGCGAGTTTACCAACCGTGAAATTCGTCTGGGTGTGTGTCGTAAATGTCATATTTACGACACAGTTGTAGCAGGCTATTTTTTCTTCCCTGGAACTATTTTTGAATATAAATTTTGAAGGGTTAGTTCTTCAAAAAAATTTGGAAGAATTTTACCAAATGCTTGAATTACTTTGAAGTCTGAAGTATGATTATACCGATACTGAAATATTTCTGGTTTATTTTTTTCATATTTTAGGCACTTGATTTTAAGCCAATTTGCTGTTTTTTTTATCAACTTTCTTGATAAATCGGTAAGGTCTTTTAAATTTGAAAAATTCATCTGACATTATAGCCCGTACATTTTTTGTTTCGGGCACGTCTTGTTCTAGAGATTCTAAAAGTATTAAACCAGTCCTAAAGGTATAAACAGGAACGTATTTCTTTGCTTTTCTATAGCACTGTGCATGCTGTTCACTTCCATAAAGGTGTAGCCTCTGTCGAGGAACTTGTGATCTATGATTTCTAGAATTGAAGTTTGGACCAAATATAAAAATAGTGCTGCAACATTTTGGTTGCGGTTTTGTCCGCCACAGCTATCAGAATACAAACAGAGCTGAGTATGAAAAAGTGTATAACTTAAAAAAAATGAGATATTTAGTATTATATAATTAAATCATATAAAATATTAAAAATAATAATGCAAAATATTTTGTAATGTGATTATTAATGACCGTGTAGGGTGCTATAATGAGGCGGAATCATCTTCGTTCGATGTACAATCGTAAATAAATATAACATTATTTCTAAAAAATTATTAAAAGTTTATAATACCTAACAGTTTCTGAATAAATGCAACATGAGTGCCTCAGGTTCATATTTCTGAATCATCTCACTCAGAATCAGAGTCCATCTCGTCATTTTCAGATCACTGTCACTATCGACACCTACATTTATGATTATTTGATTAATCACGGTGTCAAAAGCTGGCTGTTGTGTCATATAACTTTGTTCTATTTTTTTAACATGTTCACACCTCTTTTTCCATTGTTCGACTGAAAACGAATTAAAAAATTCATCACACAAACAAACTTTTTACTAATTTAAAATCAAAATGAACATTTTTTCAGCGACGTATTGCTTCATAGAAGCTCGTACTAACTCTATAGGATTCAAATCAGGTTGATACAGGGGTAACCGTAAAACTGAATGTCCTTTATTCTCGAGTATTTTGTGAATTTCATACGTTTTAAAGCGAGGTTTGTGTAATTTTATAATGTGGTATAGTTCAAATGTCATCTGTAAACAAAATATTTTGAGTTCTCAGCCACTGCTGCATTTCCGCTTTTCTGGAAGACATAGTTGGACATTTCTCAGTTTGTACGTTGTGATACGGTGCATTATCAATCACTAAAACGCTGTTTGGGGGCAAATTTGGTATCAGCTTATCCTGAAGCCACTTTTTGTAATTGTCGTAGTTTATTTCATCATGATAATCTCCTGTTTTTATAGTAGGTTTGTAGCGCAGATAAGCGTTTTTAACAAAACCACTTTCACCTCCAGCATGCACTATCACAAGCATCTGTCCTTTAGATACTGGTTTTTGTAGGCCCTTGTTTGACCTACCAGACCAGCTCTTTTGGTAGGTATGAGATAAATGGACGTATGTTTCATCCATGTATATAATTGGGCGATTTGCGTTCCTGTAACGTTTCATACTGCATAAGAAATTCAGTCTAAGATGTTGAATATTGGGCTTTCTATAGAACCTGAGTAGTTCTACTCCTCTGCAAATGTTCTGTGTATGCGATTCACAGTTGGCACTTGTTTTTGTGTTAACAAAAATCCATTATATAACGTCGAAGACGCCCTATATCAAAATCGTGCAAGCACGTTTTTTTCTCTTTTTGTTTTGAGTTACAAATGAGGAACATTCGCCGTCTTTAATTCATTGTATTTTCCTAGCAATTTTTTGAACGCTGCTTAAACTAACACATGTTGCCAATAACAGACGCTCCTGCACTTTTTTCAAATCTCTAGACAGTTTATTGTCTTTGGCTTCCTTTCTCATAAAATGAATCACATTTGCTATCACTTCCCGTGTCTGAATATTTAAAACTTTTCCCTTCAGATTCGATTTAAACTACATGTTTAATATAGGTACACAACACAGATTTGCAAATTTGGAAATGACTCTCCTTTGCGGTTTGTAGTTACAAAAAATGTTTCGCAGACTGCACCGACTTGTTCACGTCACAAACGGTAGATATTAAGTGGACGCTCGCTCAGCGCGAGATCCGTCGTATGACGAATACGCATCATGGGCGTGGTTATTTTTGGACCTTCAGCACAGTATAGTGCTTATTTAAGCACTATACTGTGCTGTTCTTTTTAAGCACTATACTGTGCCTTCAGCTATTTTTGGTGAACTGTAATTGCTATATAGATAGACGAGAGGCTCGATCGTATTTACACAAATCTACATTTGAGGGTGCGGATGCATAATTCGAATACGTTTCAACAATAATTATGAATTAATTACTATTTAACTCGGAATAAGCCACAATTAAAGATAAAAATACGTTTATTGACGTTTCAATTTCCACTTCGGAAATCGTTTTCAAAATACAAACTTATTCCCAGTTAAATAGTAATTAATTTACAATGCTACAAGAAAATAGCTTCAGAACAATAATAATTATGAATATCACGTTTTTGTCTTAAATATATATACAGTGTGTCCACTTAAGTTCGCACCATATGGGAAACTTTCTTATTATTAGTTTTACGAAAAAAAGTTATTCTTCATAAAAAGTTCTGCATGGTGTAAAAACTAAAATACAACCATCAGATATTAAAATTTTTCAGTCGTATACGAGGTATGTTCAAAAATATGAATTTTACCAAGAGCAAAGTACCTCAATTTTTTATAATTTCGAAAATTGTTATCAAGAAAATTTATTTAAAATTGTAAACATATCTAACAAACATTTAACTCATTTGTTATCAAAAATTTGATAACCTTTTAGTTTCCCAACTTGACTGTTGCAGCATTTTGTTGATGTTTTAAAATAATTCGTACACATAACAACGTTATTTATTTTACAATCTAACATGAATAGCAATTATAACAATAAGTTGTTAAAAATATTTGCAAAAAATATTAAGTAATAGATTTTCTTAGATCAAACCGCCATTGCCTCAACGTACCCACCTTCTCTTTCAATACAAGTTTCCGTTCTACGACAAAATTCTCTTA